CAAAGTCAGAGGAATTCAGGATGTAGTTAATGAGTCAGGATGGCTCAGAGGAGGGCAGTGACAGGCAAGGGCTGCACACTCACATCAGTCACGAGAGGCTCTCTCAGAATAGGACGAATATACACAGCCAGCCCCTAACAGTGGGCTTCTAGAAAGGGAAATGGAGATTTCCACAATCTCTTTTACATTTGACACATGATTTAAAATAAGTGTTAAATAAGGAGAAGCAAAAAAAAAAAACCCACACTGTACATTTATGGAAATAAAAACTATTCAAATTAATATTCAAATATAAAACCAATCGGATTAGCCAGTTACATCTAACAAAAGTGCAACTTAAGGAACATTCTGGACGTGAACCCCACCTTTATAATTCTAATATGGCTTAAAACTGAACCAAAAATTTTTTTTTCCTAAATGACATGGAAAATATAAAATTAGAAGTGCTAAGTAAATTTACCAAGAAATGGGCTTCACATTATCAACTGGCCCAAATAAAATTCCTTTTTCCCCTTAAGAACAAGCAAGAGAGGCAAATTCTAATATATCAAGAATCAAATCAGATTTGAAACCTCAAACTCAAAAATCCATTCCCAGAGAGTTCCTTACTTGTTGCTAAGGATATGACAGGCTGGTTTCAGGTTGGATTTCACAATACCTGCACTAAGAGTCTTCTGCTTCCTTGCAGTCTCCTAGTCTAATGCATTATATAATTAACCACTCATACCCACATGTATGATCTAGCCCTTACCTATCCTTTCTTCTTGTTAGTACTATTCCTCCCCTTGATCTCTGAAGTTCAGCTACACCAGTCTTCAATCAGTCTCAAGTACACCAAGCTCCTTCCTGCTTCTGAGCCTTTACAAATGATGTTTCTTTAATGGGAAGAGTTTCCTCCATCTGCTATACATACAAACTCCTATTCATCCTTCAAGTCGTACCTTAAACTTACTGGAGATACTCCTCAACCTTATTAGAGGGTTATGTTCTCTTGATATCCTGCACTTCTCTTTTGAGGCACTTTATTCAATTCTAAGTGTATGTGTGTATATATGTGCATGCATGTGTATGTATTTTTGGTACTGGGAATTAAACCCAGGGGAACCTTACCACTGAGCTATATCCCTAAACTTTTCTGTTTTGAGACAGGGTCTTGCTAAGTTGCTGAGGCTGGCCTCAAACTTGCAATCCTCCTTTCTCAGCCTCCTGAGTCACTGGGATTACAGGTATACATGGCTACTCTGGCTCTAAGCATTTTTAAAAATAGTCATTTAGCATACTAAACTATACATTTCATGAGGGTAGAGGCCATATCTATCTTGTCCAATGCTATATTCCCAGCCCCTTAGTTCAGTAACTTGGCACATGGTAAGGATACAATAAAATTGTGTTTGAATGAATAAATTTTAAAATTATGATGAGTTAAATGTGTAAAAGTCATAATTAAAAGTAGTTGAAAGCAAACCTTTAACATGCTACATGATATGGGTTGAACAATGGATCTTGGGTTAAAGTGGACTGTTCACAATAGCTTTAGTCCTAAGCAACTAAGATTAAAGTTTAGTAAATACTGGGGGCTGGGGATGTGGCTCAAGCAGTATCGCGCTTGCCTGGCATGCGTGCGGCCCGGGTTTGATCCTCAGCACCACATACAAACAAAGATGTTGTGTCCGCTGAAAACTGAAAAATAAATATTAAAAAAAATTCTCTCTCTCTCTCTCTCTCTCTCTCTAAAAAAAAAAAAAAAAGTTAGTAAATGCTGTCCACTGACTACAGTGGTAGGAACTTCTGAGCCATTGTTGAGCTTTGGGAAGTGAGGACAAACACTAAATGCAAAACACTATGCTATTTCCAAATCAAGTGTCTACCAGATGTGAACAGGCAGTGAAATCTACTCAACTAACAGGGTAGAAGTGGTGCTTTCCCTTATCCTCTACTTTGGAAAGAATTCTCGTTAACAATCTAAGTTGTTCATCCTGATTCTCATAGATACAATATCTACTCTTATTTTTCATAAAGAATGGAAGGGAAGCAGCAAGGATTTTATTTTTCTTTTCCTCCATTCAAGTTTGGCTCATTTCTACAACTCACCTGAACAGCTCCTCCTAGCATGACCGCCACCAGCCCCATGGACATGCTCAGTGTCTGCGATTCCACAGTGCTCTCTGCCTCATGAGCCAGGTTTACACATGCTCTCTGCAGTGTCGCCGCTACAAAGTCTACTACCTACCAAAAAATAGAAATTTTAATTAGTGTGGAGTTAAAAAGAAAATTCAAAATTCTTTGTATGTCTGAGTTTGTTTTATCTTTTTTAATTTACCAGTTAATAAACTGGTAAGAGGATACTCCAAAACATATATAAGTCAACCAGATGAAGAGACAAGACAAGGTACGGGTATGAGATAAAGAGCTTCCACAACCTCTCTGTCCTAGTTGCCCTTCTAGCACCTCCCCTGTTCAGCAATTCAGAAACTCCTAAGTGTTTACATGCATAATCTCACTTAATTCTCATATCAACTCTGTAAGGTTTGTACTATAATTCTCATTATGAAATGAAGACTCTCAGTGTGATTTGCTCAAGGTCATAAAGTTACTAAAGGAGAAAGCCTATACTTTCCTAACTGTTTTAATATACTAATCGAACATCCTTTACTTTTCATGAATTTTGTCAGGAAATTGAAAATAAAGATAATTCATAAATTAACTCAAAATGGATCATAAAATTCAATGTTAAATGCAAGACTATCAAACTGCTAGAAGTTAGGAAAAAATATAGATGATTCAAGGTTTAGTGATGATTTTTTAGATATAACACCAAAGGCAAAATCTAGAAAAAAAAGAAGTAATCAGTTGGACATCATTAAAAAAAAAAAATCTGATCTGTGAAAGATATTATCAAGAGAATACAAAGACTGGGAGGAAATGCATGCAAAAATACCTCTGACAAGGGACTGTTAACTAAAATATTTGAAGAACTCCTAAAACTCAACAATAAGAAAACAAACAACCTGACTACAAAAGTCCTAAACTGTCTTTTACAAAAAGATCTGTAAATCCTTACCAAAGAAGACATACAGGTGACAAGCATATGAAAATATTCTGCACATCAAATGTCCTTAAGGAAATGCAAACTAAAACATCAGTGAGACACCCCTACACACCCCTTAAAACAGCCAAAATCCAGAACACTGACAATACCAAATGCTGATGAGGATGTGGAGAAACAGGAATTTTCCTTGTTGGTGGGAATGCAAATAGTACAGATACTTTGGAAGACAGTTTGGCAGTTTTTGAAAAACTAAATAGATTAGCATGGTGGCATGTACCTGTGGTCCCAGATATTCAGGAGGCTAGGGCAGAAAGATCACTTGAGCCCAGAAGTTTGGGGCATCTGGGCAATACAATGAGACTTCAATTCTTTAAATACAAGCAAAAAAAAAAAAAACAACACCATACTATATATACTCTTGCCATATAATTCAGGCATTGCACTCAATATTTACCCAAAGGAGTTAAAAACTTATGTCCACATAAAAAAAAAAAAAAAAAAGAACCACACATGGTTGTTACCACATTTCTAGTCAGGACTGCCAAAATTGGAAAATAACCAAGATTTCCTTCATAAGGTGAATGTAAATGGTACACTGAGACAATGGAAGACTATTTAGTACTAAAAAATGAGCTGTCAAGTCATGAAAAGACATGGAGGAAACATAAATGCATATTACTAAGTGAAAGAAGCCTATCTTAAAGGATTAAATACTGTATGATTCCAACTACATAAATTTAGGAAAAGAAAAAAAAAAACTCTGAGACAGTAAAAAGACAATGGTTACCAAAGATTAGAAGAGAGGGAGAGATAAATAAGTGGAACACAGAGGATTTTAGGACACTATAACAATTCTATAGGATACTATAATGGTAGAAACACTTTGTCCAAATTCATAAACTGTGCAACATCCAGAGAAACCTAATGTAAATTATGAACTTTGGGTAATAATGATGTGTTAATGTAGCTTCATTAACTGCAACAAAGGGGAAAGGGAATGTAGCTGTGATTGTTTGCCTAGCACATGGAAGACCCTGGGTTTGATCTTCAGTATTGCAAAAACAACAAACAAACAAAAAGACCACCACTGCAGCAAAGGTAGCACTCTGGTGGAGGATGGTGATAATGGGGAAGGCTATCTAAACAGTGGGCACAGGGGACATATGAGAAACCTCAGCACTTTTCAATTTCTTCTTGTTAAAAAAATATTTTTTTAGCTGTAGGTGGACACAATACCTTTATTTTTGTTTATTTAGTTTGTTTTGTGGTGCTGGGGATAGAACCCAGGGCCTCACACATACCAGGCAAGCATTCTACTGCTGAAAAGACATGGAGGAAACATAAATGCATATTACTTTCTTATGACCCTAAAACTGTTCTAAAAAAACTATACTTATTTAAAAAAAAAAGGGGGGGGGATTTGTTACTTTCTAACCATCTCCTTAGTCTCCTAAGGAGTTTCCTTAGGAATATTTCCCCACATTTGACAGTCTAATTCTAATAAGCAAAGAATGAGGGAGAAGATGTTTAATTTTATCTAGAAGCCAGTATCCTCAAATAATCTGTACAAATGATCCAGATATATTTATAAGAATCAAATATTTTTAAATTCAGCTACTTGGGAGACTTGAGGCAGGAGTTCAAGGCCAGCCTGGGCAATTTAGCAAAACCCTGTCCCAAAATAAAAAATAAAAAGGGCTAGGTGTAGTAGCACACACCTGTAATCCCAGCACTTTGGGAGGCTGAGACAGGAGGATTACAAGTTCAAGACCAGCCCCAGCAACTTAGCGAGGCTCCAAACAAATCAAAGAGGCCCTAAAAAACTCAGCAAGACCTTGTCTTAAAATAAAAAAAGCTGGGAATGTAGCTCAGTGGTAAAGTGCCCTTAGCTTAAAGTCCCAAGTCCCAAAAATGAATAAATAAGGCTGTGGATGTAGCTCAGTGCCTCAGTGCCACTGGACTCAATCCTTACTACTTTTAAAAAAGGAAAAGTAGGGGCTGGGGTTGTGGCTCTGTGGTGGAACACTTGCCTGGATTCAATTCTGAGCACCGCATATAAATAAATGAATAAAATAAATGTCCATCAACATCTAAAAAAAATAAAGGCTTAAGATTGTTCATATAGAAATTTTATATAGCATTTGGCTACAATTAAGCTTTAAGTGGAATTAATTTGGTCAGCATCATTTTTTTAATTTACTTTTTTGGTTGTACACCATACTTTATTTTATATTTTATTTATATATGACAGCAGAATGCATTACAATTCTTATTACACATATAGAGCACAATTTTTCATATCTCTGGTTATATACACAGTATATTCATACCAATTCGTGTCTTCATGCCTGTACTTTGGATAATAATGATCATCACATTCCACCATCACTAATAACCCCATGCCCCATCCCTTCCCTTCCAACCCCTCTGACCTATCTAGAGGGTGTCTATTGCTCCCATGCTCCCACTCCCTATCCCACTATGAATCAGCCTCCTTATATCAAAGAAAATATTTCGGCATTTGGTTTTTTGGGATTGGCTAACTTATTTATTTTTATGTGGTGCTGAGGATCGAACCCAGGGCCTCGCACATGTTAGGCAAGTGCTCTATCAGTGAGTCACAACCCCAGCACTGGTCAGCATCATTTTAACTGAGTGTAATCACCTTAATTAGAAACACTTTTGAATAAAGGACAGCAGACACACATGCATGCACACACATATGCACACATGCCTATTTAGGATTAATGGCTCAAAAAGGAGATATCATTTTGAAAATGGTAAGGCTGAGATAGGTCATAATCAGCCTATAAATACCATGCAAGCTTGCATGTTTACCTCTCTGGACAAATCACATGCTGTGCTAGAATCTTTATTGCAAGTCTAAAGTCAGGAGAATGGCCTGTTAACACTTGTCTTTTGGAGCAAAGCAGGAAACTAGAAAGAATATTTAAAACTTCCACTTACTGAAAGAACAATTCTGATTATAGCAATTTTTACCATTCTCTCCAGCCAGAAGATTTTATTGACACTAGAAATTAAGGACACTAGCCCTTTCCAGAGAAACTATTGTTTCCATCATCTTAGCCTACCTATTTTGCCTCCAAAGAGTTTTCTAAAGTACTCCTTATTTATATTTAGCTTTCATATCAGCAGAAGTACTGTTAAATTACTAAAATAGCACTATCTAGTCTTCCAACTTTTTTTCTAGGTTCCTTTCCACAATATATATAT